TTCCCTGTAATGACTTCTCTGTTGACACCCACCCCTTGGCGCCCATATGACCTTATGCAGTTGCGTTGCGCCTTAAAACCCTCTACTAAAACTGAAAAACTAAGATTACAATTTGCTGACTCGAATGTGGTTTTCTGCTCAAAGATTACAACATTAGGGCTATTGTAAATATGCTGGGCCAGTTCAAGTTGTAAGTTTGTTTTCTCATTTAAAAAAAAAATTGTCTTTGATCTCCTTGTCATTTCATTAGAGAATACGATGGACATAAAGTGTTCAGTGTTTTTCCACATGAAAAATAAACAGATATATTGATGTTATTGTTTATCCTTTTGCTCTTACTGAGAGGAAGTGTGGCTCCATCTAATGCCGAGTTTTCGTAATAGTTTATTAAACGTCTTGGCGCTGTAGACAATGCGGTTTTGCAGAGCTGGTTGTGTGTGTTGGGTGCTGTTTATATTATTATTTTATTTTTGTATTGGAAGTAGTTACTTTGGCTGAGTATGTGTTGATTTGTCTACGTCTTGGGAATGTCCCGATGATAATAATTCCTTCGCCATAATCTCTAGTCACCCCCCCCCCCCACCTACACGCATCATTTCTGTGTACCGTATAGCTTTGTGGTCGCTTGCGTGTGTGTGTGAGTGAGAAGTCTAATTAAGCGTAACAAGTACGCCTTCAAGTGAGACGACCTGCTGCTGAATGTGCAAACATAGCATCATGTTCACAGAGATTCGGGCGCACCGCCTGGTGCCCGGTGGCTTTATAATGTATATCAAATATGTTCTATATAAAATTATATTTTTTATTTGGACAAATTCTGCCTCCTAGTTTCAGTCATTCATTTCAGTTCCAAAGTAATAGTTTTTGTAGCTCAGTAATAGCGCTATGATACGGAGCCACCCATTATAACTCCACAATTATCTGTGTTTTGAGTTATGGGATAAGTGTCCACGGGGAATGGTGACATAATACATGGTCGGGAGTGGTGCCAGAGGTCTGAGTTTGCTGCTAGGTTGCCCTCCACTTATGTAATTTCCTTTCCCTCCTCAACGGTTGTCTGGAATCACACTTTATGGAGCATCGTCTCGATCTTTGACTTCGACTGATCTTTGTTGTATTGCCATGCTTTCCTTTCTTATTTTAGCTTTGATATGCCATTGTTGGGTGTTTGCAAGATTCACCTGACTAGGATTGGGTGGCTTTATTGATTGAAGGTCCAATTCACATCTACTGTATAGTCTATATTCCTTCCAAGCCACCCCCCCCCCCTCCGTTCGTTCCTCGTCTGACCTTGTTTCTTTCCTGCTGTATAAGACTTTTTAGTATTGTGCTCATGTTTTCTCTTTTATATTGAATGATATCGCTGCTCTTGTTTTGTTTTTATCGCCAGTTGAAGAATTCCTTATATCCGAATGTGTCGCTTTACTTTGTTCAACCGATACATTGTTATTATTGTTGCGGTGTGCGTTTTTGTCCTTCTAAATGAATGAGATTGGGGCAAAATGGATAATATCTATTTTTCCATCTTCCCAGGCGCTGGTAGAGTTTGACGACACAGGTTGGAAGAGCCGCGAGTATATCAAAGTGCACGAGGTTTTTCAGGAGTTCCTTGTGGAGTACAGCTTAGCCTGGGTGCCTCGCAACGAGCCCAACTACCCCCCACACACAGTAGCCCCTTGGCCTGCTCTGGTGAGTACACCTACGAAGATCTAACTTCTATTTTTCTGGTCTCTTTACATACCCATGTTTATTTCCTCCTCC